CCTTTCACCTCCTTTTTCCCCTCCTCTGGGCTACTGACTCTTTCTGCAGCCTGTCTACTGCTTCTCCTCAGCTCCTTCTTACTGATATCTTTCAGCCACATCCTTGATCTTATGACAGGAAAGATCTGCATCTCGCCTTCTCGGATATGGGTGAAAAATCATGGAAGTCCCATGTGCGAGTTGCGCTCGTAAAGATCACTTGGTGGTTCAAAATCGATAAGAGTAGGCTTCGCCGCCACCGGGGCAACATTCAAAATGTCTACCAACTGAACATGTTCAATGTGTCCTGCGCGCTTATATGACCTTATGCAGTTGAGAGCGCCGTTAAACACTTACCAAAACAAATTTCCAGGTGCGTGGGGGTTTCTCAGCTACACCTGTAAGGGATAATAACGTGGGTACTTACTGTCCAAGTTTTTAAGAGTGGGAGTTGACCCCTTGTGTTTTGAGTACCTTATACACCAATGAGTGCCATGCTATACGTATGCACTCATCAATCTTCTGTTATTTAAACTTGCACACTCGCGCCCGATATCTTGCATAGGTGGAAAACATAATGGTTATTTTTTAAACTCCTTTTGAGCGGAGCATTTTTAGGGGGTCGCCCCCAACTCCGACAGAGGAGGTCAACCTTTATCAGACAGTGCGCATAGATCACAAAAAAAGGAAAAGCTTCAAATTGTTTTCTGAGTATTACTTGGCATGCTTTCCTTCGAAACGTTAATTTTAATAATTATAAACAATTCTATCTTTCACCGTAAGTGTATTATTTTACGGCAGAAAGATCGATATTGGACTTTAGAGTGAAAATCTGTAATTCTTTAAACGCACTCTCTTGTTTGTGTTTCATGTTGTAGGGTATCCTTGCTAAATGGAAAATAATTATCTCATTGTGGTGAATGGCCTACTCTGTATTGTCAACGGATGTTCTTCATTGGCACTTCAGAGTGACAGCTTTGAAATATCTAAAAGAAGTAGTCTGAAAATAGAGAATGTTAATCTAACTTTTACATGCATATTGTCATATTAATATATTCACTTTGGAGAAACAGGTGAGGTCTTTAATGGTAAAAGAACTTGCAATGTTGTAATGGTTTAAAAATAAATTACCTCAAGTAGGGACCAGTCACTGTTTTTTAAATTATCGCGCGAATTGTTGGTACATTGTTAATAGTGACATTTGATCAAGGGGCTTAAAACAACTTTTCACCTCCTTGTATATGATACAGTTACAGGCAGCCTGTTTGATCAATTGTGACAAAATAATGTACATTGGTACCTGAGTTCTGAAAAAGGAAACAATTTGCATACACACACTATTTTCTTTATTCACGGTATATTGTTGACTTTATACTAAAGTCTACTATCTGAATTAAAAACCACAACAACCGAGAACAATAAAATACGTGCTGGCAATCAACAGTCTAATGCGAGGGAACGAAACCAAGGTGTTTGATTGTGTTCTTGATTTGGGTTTATAAAAAAATCAAATTGCGAACTTGTGTTAGAGACTACAGCAAGGGTATAAGAAAGGGGTTCTTGAAGATAATGATTGTCTCTAGTTACGTCAGCCCCAGAGATCTGTTCTTTAGATGTAAAGAATATTTACCGTTGGATAAAAGCGTTGGGGGTTCGTATGGTATGTTCCACCTACATGTTAATGGAAGGGGTGTCCCTTGAAATTGCTGATTTTGGTTCAAATAATGAAATGTTAGTTAATTACTGATAAAATTAGTTCAGCCAGATCTGTGTATCAAGAATGAGAAAAAGTGAAAATTGGAATTAAGAAAATAGACTACATTTTGAGAAACCTTTTATTCGCGTCATAACCTGGTTTGAAAACATTTTAAAAATAGTCCTTTGTTTAGCAATTTTCGCCAACCAAGAGGCTTTTTTCCGCTCCTCAAAATGATATTAATTTGGTGCAATGTTTTGCTTACTACAATTTATTCTTTTGGAGCCTCGGTGGCCTAGTGGTTAGGCTTTCGGACTTGAAACCGTGAGGTCGAGGGTTCGAATTACACCAGAGACCCGACGTTGTCTCCTTGGGAATGTCACTTTAGACGAATTTTCCTCACTTCACACAGGTGAGAATGGGTACCCCACAATATACAGCGAAAGATTTTGTCAGTTTGTTGGTGCTTGAGAGAGCTTAGTCGGGCTGCTTGCACTGTATGCTTCCTGGGAAACCGAAAATATTTCTGAGTGTTATAGGGTTTGCTGGGTTTAATGATATAGGGTGTAAAATACAGAGAGCTTGCTGTGGGGCTATACAAATGCTATTAAATTTTTTTTATTATTATCCTTATT